TAGTTATGTGACCTTTCACCTAGATTTTCTTATGATTTTTTATATTTTATCAATTTTTTTTACTCTAGTTTTTTAGTGCAAAAAATTAATGTAAAAATTTGGGAAAAAGCTAACTGTTATATTATAATATTTGTTGTGAGCTCAATTAGTTTGTGTAAAAATTTGATGCGAAATTTAAGCAAGGCAATTGCATTCTCACTGATAATACTAAGTAAGGCATACTGCTTGTTAAAGTAAGTAAGTAAGTAACTTATTAATTAACTGAAGTCTGACCCTTCGGTTTTTACTACCATTACTACGTAAACATGTCAAATATATTTGCCAGATTATTGTGTTGAATCATTTTTTTACATTAATTTTTTATTTATTCTATGCTTGCGAATATTTTACTTTATATTATTTATGCAGTAATCATAATCTGTTTATATCTATCTTTCCTTTTAAATGAATACATATGCAAATACTAATTTCTGAACGTTTAATTTAGGAGAGTGAAGACAAATTTGGTCTGTGATTTGAGCGACGCTTTGCTTCTACTTATTACTCCTTTATTCCTAATCCCTTCTTGCATATGTGCTACAATTTTGTTGCAGTTTTAATCCTAAAATCTTTTCTAATAATCAAACGGTTTGGCTTAATTGTTGCTAAACTGTACAGTAGAGATTAATTTTATCAATTTTGGTACGTACATTCAACGAATGAAAGAATTCATTTCAGATTAAGTACTATTTTAGCAAAAAACTAAACTATAAAATTTTTATTTTTTTTTGAATTTATTACAGTAAAACTTTGCACTGTAAATGCTAAGCATTTCAAAGTGAGAATTTTAAGCTAAAAATTTTTTGAATGCAATTTTCAGATATTATTTGGTCAACGTTTTCTGCTAATTTTCATTATTTAAAAAATACTAGTAAATGAATAATACAAAACTGTACTCAATAATTAGAATAATTAATTACTAGTATTAAGTAAAGTACAGTAATATAAATGGATGGCAAGTGTTCGATGCAAACTTTACTTCAACCTCAAGTCACCACTTACACTACTCATAATCACAGGTCATACGTGCATTTGTTAAGTGATATGATCAAAAATCCGTCACCAAAAACACATCTAAAAAATAAAGTTTTTTAATATAATTGCCTGCATAAATTGCATCGCTTCTCACATGTAATATATGCGATAATTTTAGCTCTATCACAAATATTAAATGAATATCCTTTATGAACTTTTGATATTATTTACTCGCATTTCATAGCGAGAAGAAGCAATTTTGTGTGGGAAGAAACAATTCTAAGAAAAAACTTTATTAATAACAATTTATTTTAAATAAGAATACAATATGAAAAATATTTTCTTGCAAATAATAATAACAATATTAATATTAATATTAATATTAACAATAATAATAATAATAATAATAATAATAATAATAATAACAATGATCAATAATAATCATTTATTAATGGTCAATAATAACGTAATAACAGTAATAATAGAAATGAAATTAATAGCTGTAAACACAAGAAAATTTATTACGGTTCCTGTCCAGCTCGAACGCTTCTAGGCACTGTAATGATCTCCCAAACATTTCTTATTCTCATTTGGATTATTCGAGGTTAGTTTTCAACTATAATAATAATAATTAAATAATAATAAATAATATGACATCAGTTACCATAAAACTATAATTATTTTTATTTTTTATCATTAAAATATGAAATTGCTTGTTCGTCTTTCATTGCAACAATTATACATTACTTTTCACTTACAGCACAATATTTCAAATATTTTTGTACGAATCCAATTTTTGTAATTCTGTTAACAAATATGCGTATATGACACAAAATAAGAATACTTTCTTAATTGAATAATAATTGCAAAATGTTGCATTTTAGAATATTATTATTTCGATGTGAAATGTGCCGTGTTGGATGGGGTGGATGAGGTCGAGAAAGCTGGAAGAATAGTACGAAAAATATCAATTCCAAATAATATAATCATTGATAAATTTGCTTGGAACACTGCAAATATCGGAAAGGTTGACAATGTTGTAAGAAGAAGAAAAGATGAAGCACAAGTTTCTATTGCGGATTCAAGAATGAATTACACGTGGAAAACAGAGTTCATTGCTAATGCATCTGAAAGCTATCATCAGCAGAATGTTTCAAACAATTTCAAAAATATCTCGAAAACCGGAACTTTCGCAAAGTTCTACCAGTTTAGTTTGTCTTTATTTTGTTTGCTCAAAGTATGCTTCTCTACTCCAAAATTTCAATCATTTTAGAAGAAAAATGGAATCAACTTTTTCCTTCATATTTTCGTGCAAGATAGATAGCAAGAATTGTATAAATTGCAAATAGCAAGAATTGTATAAATTTTATTCTTACACAAATTAAATAATTCATTTAACGTTTTTTTGAATGAAAATGCAAGAAATATGAATAAAAAACCATCTTTCTCTCAGGAATTAAGCATTTAGAAGGTTTCGGTAGTAAAAATATATGAGCAAGTAGTAAGGAAAGATTTACTGTTTTTGAAAGCAATGAAACTAAGCAAACAGTTATGTCAAGGAGAATCTGATGCAAATTTTTTGGAACATTCTAATGAAAAAATAATGATATTAAAGAAAAGGCAAAAATTTTTACCAAGTTTTCATCGTTTTATAAGAGGAAATCTGCCTAGAAGAAGCCTTCTGAATCGTAAAAGGAAGACAACGAAAACTACCGATGAGTTTGCTTCTTTTAACTACCCAAATCCGACAAATAAACAAAGTATGTATGCAACGAAGAATATTAGAAGAAAGTTAACGAGAAGGAATATGTCTTCAATAAGACCTCCGAAATCACTATCACGTTATAAGAATCTACCTTCTACGAATATGAATGTTATAAATGGAAAGAAAAAAAGTAAGAACAACTCGATGATTGCTCGTCACAAGTTAATAAACTTTGCAATTAATGCAAGAAAGAAGTATCACAAATTGAATAGAACATCTCAGCAAGGGATTAAGCCTAAATTCACTCAAAAAAGATTGCATTCTTTAAGTAATGCTCCTGAATCTACTCAAACTTCATCATGGATCAATCGTGTCATCAATTCTCGCAATAAGCAACTCTCAAACAGAAATCAAATCAGATTCTATTCACGTAATATTACTCGAAAGCTGTCTGGAAAACAGCGAAAAAAAACGAAGAAACGACCAAAACTGATGGCATTGAGCAATTCACAAAAAATAAATACAAAAGAAAAACAAAATGTACAACAAAAGATGGCAATTTCAGAAAATCAAAAAATAAAATCTAATGTGTTTCTTCGTGTTCGAGCATCTAAAGAAAAATTACAGAAGACAAAACGACGTGAGTGGAAACCTGCAGAGAATACAAAAGAGAAGATTCAAGCTAATTTACAATCTAGTAAATTTGGCAAGGTACATCTTTTTCGATATCATTTTTTAAAATTACTTTAAATGGTTTGTGTTGTAGAATTTATCTTCTACGAATTTGAGTTTTCTTTTTTCTATTTATGCATTTTTGAATACCTCTTTTGATATATAATTTATGACAAGTTATAGTACTACAGAGTTGGTGAACAACTGCTTATACTTATGTGTTCACAAATTATAAGTATATTCGCATAAATACTCAAAAATTTTCAGAAAATATCAAAAGGTCACGATATAGTGACAACAGTAACTTCAATGTTAACTTTCAACTCAACGACTTATCCAAAAGGTTGGTTCAACTACTTGTCAGGGAGTATTAGTGTAAACTATAAAAATGATTTAATTGAAATCTGTATTAATAACAAAGGCAAAAATTACAATACCATTATTTCAAATGATAGTGGCGCAGAAAACGATATCACCTAAAATTACTTCCGTCGAAGCTACCAAAGAATCAGCAAAGAAATTGTTACAAGTGTTCAACAGTGACTATAACATGCCTAACTCACGTAATACCATGTCAGCAATTTTAAATAATCAATCTCTGTAAGCTTATTTGACGTCAAGTAAAGGTAAAATAAATTACGTGGTGCTTTTAATGATGCATCATGTATCATCTTGCAATAACTTCTTCAGAAATATGAATGCAAATGATGCTAAACTTGAATTAAAGCAAGCGCTGAAGAAATATGCTTCAAACTCTTCAACAATGGTATCTTTATTGTCTTAACTAATACTACAATAGCAATTTTTATTATTTAATAACTAATACTATATATGTATATATCCATATTTAGGTATTTGAAAAAATTTTTTAACTACTTTACATGCAATATTATTTTTTAAATGTTGTGCATTTTCAACATATTATTATCAGATGACAGTAACAAGTAATATGCAAACGACAAATACAAAAATACATAAACGAGAACAGTTCGTGGCGCAGTTGTCCACTTTCACTAATTCCGTTTTGTGCATTGCGCGGTTAGCAAGCGTATAAATTTATTTTCTTAATTTTTCATACAAATGCTGTGATAATAATTAATACAATCAACTAATTACTAAATTAATAAATGAGTGCTTTTAAGGATTGTTTTGAATCTTTGGTGCATAGCTGAGTGTATTGCTACCATTCCTTTTTTTCTTGGTATATGGTATCCAGTGTATAATCTTTTCATAGCTCGTATTATTTTGGATACGTTATTTATAGTTCTTGGATTTATCTACAGGTAAGTCAGTATTACTTAACTGTATATATTCATAATTCTTGATTATTTAATCTTTACTATATACTTCACGATTTAATTGCTTATTTATTTATTTACAAAAAAAATTTATTACTTTCTAGCATTACCATAGCAGTTTATTCACTAATTTTATACATGTTGGTGGTAGAAATGAGTACTTTTATATTCTTGCGGTGGCTTATTTTCGCTATCATTGTTAACCTGATCGTTACTATTTATCTTGTCTTGTTCATTATTACTTTAAGGTTAGTTACTTGTTATACTTTTGATGCAATGCAAGTTTTCATTTGTAATAATTATACTACATCATTGCAGCGTATTTATGATATTATGTTATAGATGTTGCAAACTTTTGGACAATGAACGTAATCATAAGCAAAAAATACGCTGCAAATCATTAATAAATGATAAACATTTTGGTTGCCAACAAATGATGTTTGCTGATGGTGACGTGTTATGACAGATCAAATAAAACGTGTAATATCACGTAACGTTGCATATACTTTGATATGTTATACATTGATAACAATAGCCTTGCAGTACTGATGATATTGATGTGCTCATTTCTGTCCTATAATTAAACTAATAACTCATTTACATCATTTAATAAATTATCATCAATTCTTATGAGTGTTACACAAGCATTCTTCACTGTAGCAGATGGATCTTTGAAGACGAATATAAATATTACTTCTAACTTTCTTCATTCTTTCCCATCGTAAATGTTTACTTTAGGCATTCAAATTACTTCAACTGTTAACACGCATACATTAATTAATTCATTTCATGTTATACAAACATGTATGTTCTGTAAAATTCACTCTCATATAGCATTGTGACCACAAACATACTTTTACTCGACCGCATCTATCTTTGCTTCTCGTGAAAATGAGTACTGCCTTTGTGTACACTTACTCTTCTTTCAATTGCATGTAATGCGTAATTCTTCGTAAGGTCTGAGAATTACGGTAGAGATCATAATTAATACTGGTGCAAAATTATTAAGGTGAAGGGATTTTAGCCTGTAATATTAGGCATGTTTATAAATTAGTGTATCGGTCATAATATTTAATGTGGTTTGTAATTGTCGTGCGTGCATATATCTCGTCCACGCAATTTTATTTTCGTAATATGTAATCATTTACTTTTTGTCAGCTTTTTCTAGTAATCGTTTTACGTATGTTAGCAACGGTTTTTAAATTTTAAATTATTTCAATTGATCTTAACAAATAATACCAAGAATTGTTTTTTATCACGTGATGTTATGACTTAAGTTATCATTTTATTATTGATAGCATTTATGCCACAAATAATATCAGAAAATTAATATAATTTCAATGTAAATGGCATTAGTCAGACTGCAAAGATGGGAAGGTTTTCTTTGTTTTACGCATGTTGAGAGTTGCTTGTAACACGTTGAAAATATAGACTTAGCTGAAGACTTGTTGATTAAGCAGCTCAGTTAAAGCTGTAAAAATCTATTAAATATGCAAATTAATTGATTCACTACAGTTGATTGTACTGCAGCTTTTCAGCTTGAATTTTTTTTTGTATTCACTAAATGTCTATATGTTAAGATTAATTTTTTATAAATGAGGAAACGAAAGCGAAATAAATACAGTTGTGGTAATGATATTGTAAAGGAGTTGATTTTCATTCTTCTAAAATATTAATATTACAGGCATGGTTTGCCAGCCGTCATCTTTAATAGTAGCTCGTAAGCATTGTCAGCCTCTTCTTACAAGTAAAGCTATACGATATCTAACATATGGCAGTACTACCGGTTTCAATGGTGAAAGCTCAAATTTAGGTGTTAATGAGTCTGAAAATAACAATTTTGGTGAACACACCATGTCTCGCCACTTTATTCCGTTATTATCTGCTACTCCTATAACAAGTAAGCATCTGACTACAAGATGGAATATCTGGCGGGTATCGTCATCTAATAATCGTTGTGCCGAGTGTGGTAAACCACTCAAAAATATACCTTCCACTACACGTAAGTGAAATTGCTATAGAAGATAAATTCACTAAAATTCTATACAAAGTTGTGATTAGTTTAAACAAGCTGACTTCAAGATCAGTTTTGGCATTTTATATCTAATGTTATTTTTGCTGCCATCTAAATTTTTCAGAGCTTTAAAGATTACCAGTCCCTTTAACAATTGTAACGATATTATGTTTAATACATCGTAGCATTCCAAGTTTCCATTGCTGAAATATGAGTAATAATGAACTTTACAGTCATTTATAATTTTATATCGTTTTAGCAAATTCACGTTATATGATTTGTGAAAACTGTAGACGGTTATTCAGCTGTGGTTCATCGGATGATGATGATGAGAAAGGAAATATTTTAAAAACAAATGAATCAGACAAAAAGCCTCCGTACCCCAAAGAGGTTTTATTTTATAGTTCTTGCTGAGTTAAAAATTTTTTATTGGAGATAGCTGAAAGCAGTAAGTTTCTGTATAGCAGAAAGAAATATTTGCTTCCAGATTTATAACTTTTTGGACAAGTACATAATTGGTCAAGAACAAGCTAAAAAAACTCTCGCAGTTGGAGTTTATCAGCACTATCGACGTCTTTACCATAATATTGAAAATAATCTTGGGACACCGGCTGTAAATGCTGTAGATGGAAATCAATCTCGTTCAGCTACAGTCCCATCTGGTGTTTTGTATCAGGAAGATTATAATAGAACAGGTCGATCTGACATTCGTTTTTTCGCCGAGCCACCAGCTCCTCAGCAGCAGCAACGTGTATTTTCACCGGTATTTCGACAGCTCCCAGAAAAAGATGGCACTATTCGCTTAGAAAAATCTAACATATTGCTGCTTGGTCCTTCTGGTGTTGGTAAAACTTTTATCACTCAAACATTAGCTCGCATTTTGGATGTCCCCATTGCACTGTGTGACTGTACATCCATGACTCAAGCTGGGTAAAATTTTTCATTTTGAAATAAATATTTCTGTACAGTCTATTTTGTAAAGTAGAAAAATATTGATCTAATTTATTGAATAAAAAAGTTTAATTTTCAAACAGTTGTATGGGATTTGAAATTTTGCTGCAAATGTGAGCAATTTTATTAGCATGCTACAGTTATGTTGGTGAAGATGTGGAAAGTGTTGTGCAGAAACTTGTACAAAATGCGGGAGGTAATGTTGAAAAAGCACAGCAAGGGATAGTTTTTTTGGACGAAATCGACAAAATAGCTGCTACGCAAAGTGTTCAGTCACATGCGTTTAGAGATGTTAGTGGTGAAGGTGTTCAACACGCGCTGCTTAAACTTGTAGAAGGTCAACTGTTTTTAGTATTGCATTGATTTATTTTGTTTTTAATTTGTTGTAGGAGTATTTTTTTCAATGTACGGATTAAGTAAAAGTATTTGCTGACATCCACA